TTTACTTTTTTTCAAAATAACTCAAAAACCTGAAGAGCTAGGACCGGTCTGCAAACGTCATTAAGATAGCAACAGAACAGTCTAAAACTTTCTCCATTTAACCATTTTTCTACCTCTTATAGCTTCCAACATGCCAACCAATACATGCCAAAATAGTCCACACTGTATAGATTTTAAAAAGTGTTTAGGTTAATTAAAATTGCAGCAAAACCTAACTATATATGAAATTTAACAAAAATTTGTTTAGAGAAATAATGCTAAAAATTTTTCGTTATTTAATTGTTATTATGCAAGAGACAAGGCAACTATTTGTGACGATACGCTACATTACATATATAGGACATCTTATCAAATCCGATTTTATTAATTTTATTTTTAAGGTAGCAGAAAACAAAGCATTATATAGACATATCTCACAATCAATGTTTTCCTTTAATTTAATTTTAAAACCCACCTGTATATAAACTATCGGAGTTTTTATATTAAGGTGATGTTTTAAAACTTCCTATCCATAAAATAACATTTTCTTTATATTTAAGTGGTATAGTAACTAACTGTAAATACAGGTACTGTCATGCTTGTCATAATGTTTGTGTAATAATATTACAGTTACCTAGAGATATTGGATAGAATATTTCAAGCAACGTTCTATGTTAGGCAACCAGTTATACTAGTGTTGATTTAATTTATAACACATAGTCCAATCATTTGGCGCTCAAGAAGGGAAAGTTTTAGGGAAGTTTTGAAAATTGGTATATCTATAGATTATGATGTGCTCTTTCCGAATTTTTACTTTGCCACCTCTTTTTTTTCCGCCATATTGGAAAAATGGCGCTCCAAAACAGTTTTTCAAAGTTATTTCCTTTCCGACTCACTTTACGGTGAAAATAGTTATGTAATAAATTAAACTAGAGAACATTTCCTATAATTTATGTATCAACCTTTTTTCTGTAAAATGTAAAATGAATAGTATCGACGTACGGGCGTTGAAAATCCGACCTACTATGGCCTCAATACCGCAATCAGCATTTTAACTACATTTGATTCCGTTATAGTTATCGGCGATGATGTAGATCTTCTTATTCTTTTAACTGCAGAGCGGTGGGGATGGAAAAAAGCAAGAATGGGCTAATTCCTCACCACACTCCAGCAAACTTACTAAAACTAATTTCTTGCAAATGTAAAAAAGGATGTCGGGGAGCCTGTGGATTCAGAAAGGCTGGTGCTCCGTTATGTGCGCGAATTGCAATGGTACCTGCGATAATTCGGATGTTGATCTACAAGACAGTGATGAAGAGAAATATACGGAGATAGTTCTTCAGCAAACCTTCGACGAAATCGAGGAAGAAGGTGATGAAGTTGAAGAAGAGAACCCTATCGCGGATAATTTGGAAGAACTTCCTATCCGTGAGGTTTTGCTTAGTTCTGAAGACGAAGAACTCGCAAAACCTGGTCCATCAGGGATAGCGAAGCGAAGGAGAATGCACTAAATTTAGTCAACATTGCATCACATGTGGATTAGGCCTATTGGAGATACTACTAAAAAACGCGCCAGGAACTCTACATCATGATGGTGTGGAAATGAGTTTGTTGGCCAATACGCGTATTGGAGTAGACTTTGCGGCGCTCGTACGTCGAAACTATTCATTTCACAGAAAAAAGGTTAATACATAAATTATAGGAAATGTTCTCTAGTTTAATTTATTATATATAACTATTTTCACCGTAAAGTGAGTCGGAAAGGAAATATCGTCGAAAAACTGTTTTGGAGCGCCATTTTTTCAATATGGCGGTTACTTCCGGAAAAAAAGAGGTGGCAAAGTAAAAATTCGGAAAAGCACGTCAAAATCTATAAATATAACAATTTTCAAAACTATCCTATAACTTCACTGGAAAAACTTCCAGCTGATTGGACTAACATTCAATCAACAGAATTTAAGGCACATTTCCAACTTACAATTAGTTATAAACTTGGATCTTACATAAGTTTATTATTAATGTGGAAAATATTAAATTTCCAAAATTTTAGCAATATGTTCTATTCGAACCTTTCCATTTATCAAAAGAAAAAGCGCATTCACGATTTATTAGTTACAAATCAGTATAAATTTCTAAATTCTAAATAAATTTTGTTTATTTTTATGAATTCTTAAAATTAAAAACTTTTCTACAGTAACTGTTTGCAAATATTTTCACCGTCCACTCATATTTTTGTTTCAACGTTGTCAACATTTTGAAACAGTGTATTGTAAATACAAAAAGAAAGTTGTAAAGAAAATGATGATCTTTTTAGGGAGCACAGCACTGAAAGAAGAATTTCAGTCCACAATGAAATTTTTTGCAAAAAGATGGTATCATACAGATTTCATTTGTAAAAACAAAGTTTAGTCTCTTTCTTACAAAATATCTCGCAAACCGAAATAGCTATGGCCGCCACTGTGGGCGAAATGGTCGATCTATCGTCGTTTAATTCAATTTTCAAAGTGTTTATTTGCGCCAAAATTGCGTCTCTATCGATTACTAATATCCCACTGACCTTATATATCGATTCTATTTTGATTGACATCATCTAGTTGAACAGCTGTGAGCTGTCAAACACAACATATGTTTCAGCCGGTGCATCACTAAGCTTTAACACGTGTTTTCTTTGCATTGCCAAATTTTCTCTAAAGTTGCATTTGTCTCAATTAAGTGAAAGAAAAGTGGTTTTATTTATAGTTAGAGGTATGTATTAACTAAAAAAATTTTTGTTTGTGATCTATGCTTAAGTGTTGTAGAAAAAAATATAGTTAAAGTTGACTATAACACTAACTGCTTGAAAAAAGCCAAAATAAGACTTCCGTGGACCGGAACTTCTGATATTCGTGGGTATTCGCGCTACAATATATTTTTTAAATTACTATGTTGTCTTGTGATTGTAAAATTTCCAAATCATCTGCAGCCAACTGCAACTTTACATGATATTGCATTTTTTAGGAACAATGTCGGTGCTCAGACGAGAAGTTTATTTACTATGGCGCAACGAGCCCGTGCCTACTAAATGATTGCCGTTGAAAGTCATATATTTAATAATATAATTAATATCAATATGTATGATGCTAATGAAATCCTTCTAATAAGCAAAAAAATTATAAATTTTGTAGCAAAATTGGTTGAGAAATGGAAATTCAACCATAGAAGCAGCCACAAATTTTTTGTTTTTATTTTCTGTTCATCAGATCCCTTGATCCTTGATTTCAAATTTACGCAAATCACAAGGCAACTCAAAAAAGAAGGATGTCGATAATGATATTTTACAACTTTTGTCTGAAAATTGTGTACCTTGCACCTTAGATTCATCTAGTAGTTCCGAATCGGAAGAAAAAACTGTTATTACTATTGTTATTAGTACTGTTATTATTTTTTTCATTATAATTAAATTTTTGAATAAGGCCAAAAATAGTTATTTCAACAGAAAAAAAATTAAAAAATAAATAAATGTTAAAAAAAACTGTTTTTAATATTAAAATGTAATATATTTTTAGCCCAAAAGAATGTGAAACATTTAATATATTAACTTTATCATGTTTTCCTGAATGAAATAAACAGTGTCTAAAATATGAAAAAAAGTTGCAACTTTCACAAAAAAAAATATAAATATATTTAAAATTTTTTTTTTTATTTAACATTGTAGCTTAATCTATTTTCAACTAAAAAAAAATATTACACAAACAAACAAAAAATTCCCCTAAGCGCTATTAATTAAACGCCGCTAGATGAGCCTTTTCGCCCACTGTGCCGGTCTGAAAAAATCATTGCGTTGATAATAGAAGGGTCTAAACTTTGTCCCTTGATCGTATTTCTGTCTCTTTCAGTTTCAGAGATCCCAATATATGCATCAACACAGTATTTTTTAAAAACAAATTTTATGACACTTACATATTTCTAATACAAAAATGTTAGAGAACATTGAAATTAAGTAAAATGTATAAAGTATTAACTGCAAAAGCATGGAGGATAACAAGAATTTGGGAATAAAAAATCGCATATTTAAAAAAAATATATATATTTGTTCTATTGCATAAGAAAGGAACCAAAGACGAATAATTATACACACGTTTAGATGTCATCTATAAAATGTCACTGAGATTAATAAAAAACAACAGCTAGCTAAGTAGGTACCATAATGATCAAATAGGATTAGAGAGGATTTGCAAAGGAACATCGACTACAGACCAAACTTATATTTTGAAGAAACTCTGACAACACATAATTTAAGTCTACATTTGCTGGCAAGACAAACGTATTACTCAATTACATGGAAGAAGTTATATGAAGCAATAGGGAAGTTAAGGTTGTTAAACTAACTGAAGACGTTGTTGTAAATGAATGTTAGAGAAATGATGAGTTCAAAGTAAAAGAATTGCTGATATAGGTGATCCATTGTCTACATTTTTCTTTAACTTGCAGTTCAGTGCAGGGTTTGATATACCTACCTGTATAGAAGCAGGCACCAGTGTTTGGTTTATGCTGATTATATTGTATTGTAGGAAAGACATAGCAACTGCATCTAAGTTACTGGAAAGCAAGAATATCGCTTAGCCATTCATGAGAAAAAAAATAAAATGGCAATGATAGAGGATATGCAGGGAAGAGAAAATACATAATAAAAAAGTAAGAAATTTAACAAACACACAATAACAATAAAATTCTAAAGGCGAATAATTCATAATCAAATAATAATAAGACACAGTATATAAATATTAGACACATTTTTATTTGTGAACAAAGAAAAAGATATATTCGAAACAGATGTCATATTTTTGTTTAGAAAATGGACTAGATATCTATCTAACTAGTATCATAAAATAAAATTTCTTTGTTTGATTTTTTATATTGGTAAACTTTTAAATCAATAATTTATACGATTTGATAAAACAAATTTACGTCATAAAAGATATATTCAAACAAAAAAAATATATATTTTGTGCAATTAATTGTACTTTTGATTTAAATATAAATATTTTTTTAATTATTTTACATTATAAAAACAACTATAAAAAAACAATTATAAAAACAGTAATAAAAATAAATAACTTCCTCTGATGAACACATTTGGCATTTCATTAATATAAGTAAAAACAACTCTATTCCATTTGGTTAATTTTAGTACTAACCCTATTAACAAAATCTTGTAAGCTCTTTTGAGTTACTGCATCTAATTTTAAGAAATGAAAGTTTTCGTTAACAAATTTGTTTTTGTTTAGGTAAAAGTTTAAGTAAAATTTATTTTTTTTACTGTTTTTAGATTCAGTGGAGGTTTTCAAATGTTGTCGAATGAAGGGACTGCTTAATAATATGTTGAACCTACAGTACATATACTCAGTAAATTTTATAAAATGCAAAGTGTCCCTGTTATACAGGGTTTTAAAAGAATGTTCTACATCTCCAACGCTATCAAATAAAGCATTAAATGAGTATGTGATTAGCAGCATGTAAATAGTTATAGGAAATATTATTTTAGAATTTTCTAAAAAGTCCTTGAAGTTGCTTACACAATATATACCAAACAAGGCTATAACATGCGGCGTTATTTTTCGAATCCCATTGACCATCACTGCTTGGTATTTTGAAAAATACAAATGTTGTCGAAGAAATTGATAAAGCAAAGTGACTGTCAAAATGCATGTTCGAATATGTTCGTTTTTTATTAAATAATATACTAAGAACGTAAAAGAGGCGTAGAATAAAAATGTAAAATAACATTCTTTGTTTTTCAGATTTATAGGGGGTTGTAATGTAAAGAAAATTAGAACAGATATGGTTAACAAGAACAAAAAAGTTATATGGCCAACAAAAATCGCGATTAAAAAATAATAAACAAAAACAAATCCATATATTGCCAAAATCTTGTTATATGTTGGAGCAGTGACATTCCACTTTGTTTCCAAAAAAGCTGATATCAAGGGGTGTGTTGCTAAACCTTTAAATTTTTCACAAGAACAAATTTTTGACATAATCTCTACTTCGGAGCATATTAGCTCTTGGTTAGGGTCTTTTTGCAACAATCCACTAAAATCGAATCTTATTTCGTATTTCTTACTATGCGGTGTATTATAATTATCAAGCACAAGACACTGGTCGAGATATAACTCTAGATCATCTTTACTAATATAATCGAGCGGAGTTTTATTGGTATAATTTTGTATAAAAAGTGAAGCCCCACGATCTAACAACTTTAAAATGGCTTTAGTATTATCAAAAATGATTGCATAATGCAGAGGGGTGTTTCCATTTTTATAAACAATATCCACTTGTAGACCATCGTAACATAAAATTTCATTAAAGTATTTCGTTTTTATTTGTCTACCGCGGTTAAGTAAAAATACTGTAAATAAATTAAGATCAATTACTATTTTGTTTGTTTTAAGAAGCTCCTTGAAAATTTCATTGAAATTCCTTCTAGCAGCTATTTCTAGAGGTGTTTTACGATTTCTATTCGTAGTTTTACTTAAATTGGCTTCTTCTTGAATTAAATAAGCAACAACTTCTTTAAGATTCTTCTCACATGCCAGTTGTAGTAACGTGTTGTTACCATCTTCTACATCAACAATGTTTTTATTATTCTTCTTCACTTCTTTAATAGTTATTAAAAAATCATTTTCTTTTTTTTGTGTTAGAAAAGAAAATAAAATATTTTCCTCGTCTTCTATCGCACTGTTTATTCTGGGAAAATCTTTGTTCTTCTCTTGCAACTTTTTTAAAGTGTCATGTAAGTCATACAATTTTATAATGTCTGTTGCACTTTTACCATTTAATTTATGCAATTCAACATCCACGTTATGTCGTGTTAATATTACACTAGCAGCATTTAAGATTACGTCATTGTACTGTGTAATACCTTTCTGTTGTAAGGAATCGTATTTATTTAACAAAATTGTAATTGGAGAGTGATCTTTGTAATCCGCTTTGTTTACCGACAATTTATATTTGTTCACTAATATTTTCAACGTATCAATATATTTTGAATTTTTCAAATTCGCGAACTTTATGAAAAATAATAAGATTGTGTCTCCCTCCCTTGTTTTACTACGGCATTCCGGTAAAATATATGTCATAGCTAGATGGAGATTGTCCACGTCGCAACTTGCAGCTGCCAAAAAGGCCAGTTCTTCGTAATTTTCATTTTGCACGTATATCTGTACTGCTGCTTGAATTACTTTTTCTAAACAATAGTACTTATTTTTCAATCCTTTCTCTAATCTTATCGTGGGCAGTAATGACAGATACTTATTTCTTCCAAAGTCGAAGGTCAATATTGCTTCATTTTCTTTTATTATTTCTATGGCTTTATCGATATCTTGATTCTCGATTATCAACGCTCTGACTTCTTTGGCACGACTTCTTAGTACCACCTCGTTTTCCACGGGTTTGCCCATCACCTGGAATAAAATATTAACTGTTTTAGGTATAACAAAAATATTGTAATAATAAACAATAATTTTCTTAAAAATAATATTTTTACCAAGCTCCAAGCTTTATAATGTAGTGCATGACTGATTATAATAACCTATTATATCTACACCTTTTCTATACGATTGTTATTAAGATTAGGATATCAATTACGAAAATATATTGTTGCTACTACAGTAATAATAATCAACGATAAGAATAACTGTTTTTGCATTGTTAGAAATGCTTCAGAAAACAAAAAATTGTACTACGGAATTTATCTACCTTTTAATTATTTTAACAGTTTAAGCTAATTAAAAAATTCTCATGAGGTGAAGTTATATATTTTTTCATTTCAAATAATGTCCATGGACCAGTTACAAAATGATTATATAAAAGGAAAGGTACTGTCTCCAATTGATACCTACCAATGAAAAATAAAATGTAGTACAACATATCAGGTATAAAAGAGTTTTTGTTATTAAAATTTAAGACTATTTTTATATAAGACGTATTTAAATGGAGGTATTTTAAGTTTTTGAAAAATGTCAAAAATGTTGTTTTAATAAAACTAAATTGGCGACTATGTTGCCCCTATATATTACAACCATTCAAAAAAAATCCTATTATGACTGACCACTTTAGAAGGGTTGTTTGTGTATTATGAATTTTCTCCATACGGTACAGACATCTATTATTATTATTAATATTTAAAATAACATACCTGTTATGGTATATTATAATAATAAAGGCATTTGTATTTTTTTGCATCATTTAGTAAATATTAATAATTAAATATATAAACATGAAGCATAACTGTTGAGAGTTAATAAAGATAACATTGAAAATATAAGTATTACTAACAATTGCAAATTATTTGTTTACTTCTGTGCAGTTTCCATATATACATTTACAAGAAAATATACAGTTTGTTTTTCGAATTCGACGTACCGATTCGAATTTTATTAATGGTCAAAACCTTATGGTATTTTTACTGATTGCCCATAGGTAACTGCCAAAAAACTATTACTGCTAGTAATATCGAATTTGTCACCGTAATATTCAAGTTTAATCTTGTTTTCTTCAAGAAAATTAAACGTATCTATAATTTATCCATAATTCTCTGAAGGGGTCTTAAAAATACCTTACTATATCAGCAAGTTAATTTTTAAAGATAATTTTTAAAACAGTTTCTTGAATTTATATTACTCAAGAGCAATAAGTTTTCCAACGAATTTATAGAATTAATTAGTAATATAAAAGCAACTAAATTTATTAATTTTATATCAGATATAAATCAATGATAATGATGTAGAGTAATGACATTAATATCGATAACACTTAGTTTTTGGAATGTTGTTTTATTGTGCAAGCCTAATCCAATTTTCTTCAAGGAAATTAAACGTGTAAATTATCTATAATTTTCTCAAGGAATAATTAATATCTGGGAAATATACACATGCAATTCTTAAAGATAATATAAAAAACAATTTCATGAATTTTGTTTACGCGGAATGGTTTTACGGAATAAATTAATAATAAATAGGTGAATTTAATTAAATTTATTATCTGGACCTTTTCAACAAGATTGTAGTTAAGTAACATATTCCTAAATGTATTCCTCTTCAACTCTCTTTGCATATTTGTCTAACGTACAGATTCATTAAATGCATACGAGGTCTGTTCAGAAAATAACCGAACTTTATTTTTTTTAGCTTTATTATTAATTTTATACATTATTGGTCCTTGTCCCCTTAAAAGTACTCCCATCCCCTCCTATTCACACACTTTTCCCAACCGTGTTTTCATTTCGCGCAACAGTCCTATATAGAACTTCATAGACTTTGAAGTGAAGCACCGATTTTAATTTCGGAAATAAAAAAAATCGCAATAAGCCGGATCTGGCGAGTGAGGAGGATGAGGGAGGACAGTAATCTGATTTTTAGCACAAAACTAATGAATTAACAACGCGTGTACGGGCGCATTGTCATGGTGCAAGAAACATGAGTTGTCTCACTACAACTCTGGTCTACTTTTGCGGATTTTTTTCAGGTAACCGTTGCAAAACATCTTGATAGAACACACGGTTCACTGTTTCACTTTGAAGCAAAAATTCAAAATGCACAATTCCAATAAAGTCGACATTGGATCGAGATTGACGTGCTTTCTTGAGACGTAAAGATCCTTTGCCTTTGCTTTGGTCTCCCGTTATAATTCTTTGAATGAATGTTTCATAGTCGCATGACTCAATTGAGATGCTAACCTCTTCTGCAATTTCTCTGATGGTGAATCATCTTCAATTGACTGACGACAATTTTTAAATTAATACCATTCGTAACAATGCGTACGACCCAGAGGATCATCTCCGTAAGTTTCTTGTAAAAGTTGAAACGTTTCCGTGATAGTTCTCCCCTGTTTTACGCAAAATTTTACGTCACATCGTTGCTTCAGAAAATAGCACATTTCAAAAATCGTCACTAACATTTAAACACGTTGCACTCAAATATAGTATCACGAACAGTAACGGAAAAAAATCCATAAACTAATATTTTATATTATATAATGAGTAAGATCTTTTTTCCAAATTTTGGACATAACTGAAATCGAATTTAGATTTATTTAGTAAAAATAAAGTCATAGAATCAACATTATATAGAGAAATAAATATATATGAAAAAATCATTAACAGATTAGTGAAATGCAAATTTTTCACCTGTTCCTTATTTACCCCTTTGTTGCCAGATGTATGTATGTATGTATCAATAAAATATTACAGTATGAAATGAACTGAAAAAAATTATGTTAAGCAGAATTGTGGTCAAGGTAAAATAACTTATTATTTCAATTATTAAATTAATTTTCCATATATGACCCTTAGTCCACCCCTGTTATTTACGTCATTTCTTACTAATCATGAAGATATTAAATACGGAATAAGACCGCAAGAACCGATAATATTGATAGCTTTGCACACAGAATTTACATTCGACGTATATGTGAATTTCAAACAACTTTTTCAAACGTGTTAGTAACAATTTTGCATATTTTAAAAGTTAAAGTGAATTACAATTTTCTTCTTATTTAACTTTGGAAAGTTTTATGTATTAGTTTTATATTACATACAATTGGTACATTTATGCCGAAGAAAAAAGAAATTAATTACGTTTCTCTTACACTGTCCTGACGGATAGATGATTACAAGCACTTAACTAGCAATTATTACTTTTTGAGGCGCCACGAAGTTGTACAGTTTATATTTACACAACAAATCGAAACTGCTCTCTTTGCATATATCGATATATATGTACTAGCAATAAAATACATAGATTAGATAAGCACTTCCACGTAGTAACATACCGTATTAAAAAAGCTATCAGACATATTGTAAAAACATATTTGAGAATTGAACGTACACTATACTGCTACAGGTAAGAGCTGCGCAAGACCTGGGATACTGAGAAACTGTCAACTATAAACTGCGTTTAAACATTGGGATTTGAATGTTATACCGGTATACCAGGGACGGACTTCAAATAAAAAGTAAATAAAATATAAAACTGGCACGGCGCACAGTGGGAAATATGGGAAACAATTCCGTACAGTGGTAATTTCTTATATGTTTAATTTTATAATCCTGGTGGAATAATTTGATATATTTATATAGAAATTTTTTAAATCCAGGGAGAACCCATTACCCTCAACGCCAAAGATAATACTCTTCAACCTTAAACCTGAACCCAAACACATCACATAACCTCAAATTCATCAAATTTTACCTCAAAGTAATACACTGACTCTTTTCTAAATCTATGGGTATAATTACTTATAGCTTATATTTCCTAACTCTAAAGCCATAAACCTACACCTCTCAAACCCTTCAAAATCTAACCGAAACCCTCAAAATCCAACTTCAAATTCTAAAAACATGAGCTAGAAATTCATAGAATGTATATGTTCCACACTAAAGAATAAAAGTCCTTGAAAACTATTCTCTGGACTGGCGGCGCTCCAAGAAGCTAATGTATCAGGGAAATTATCAATAATAAAAATTGTAATAACGTTAAAGCAGTGATTGTGTTCCTGATATTGCCTAATATAAATAAGTTTAAATACATTTATTTTTCTTGAGTATTTTACCACACTACAAATTGTATAAATTAAAAAGTCGTTTACAAAAGTTAGTAAATAATCCCCTGGGACGTAAGAATCAACCAGTGACTGTTTTTAACGCGCTTATTTTGGTCTATTTTGAAAGTTTGCGATGAGATATAAATAACTTCTTATCACAATATACACAGTGTCCAAAAAAGTAATTTAAATTATCAAATGTATTTTTTAGATGATCAGCATCAATTCCATACATAAACATAGTTTGTTTTTATAAGGAACATTCTTGAACTTGACCCAGAATCACGGACTGTTTTCTGAGGTAAATCATAGAGATGCAAGTCGCTCCCAAAGAAAGAAATCTGATGGATTAAGACCAGTAACCTGGCTGGCCACTTTACAGGATTTCTTCTTCAAATTCATTTTTATCTAGTGATTTCCCAAAGAAGTCGATCACATATTGTAAGACAAACAGCATGAGGCTTCTCTTCATTTTACTCTAAATGTTTGGAAATTTTTAAATAGTTGGTTTCTTGGACGGCGGATTGGAAGGAGGAGTCCTATTAGAATGGCTAGCCAGATTCCCTAGATTTCTTTTTGCAGTATGACGTTTGTGACAAAACTCACTTCTCCCCAGGATTTAAATTTGCTGACAAATGTCAGTTGTTGATTACAGATATGTTCAGGATTGTTTGTACTTGTATTTTGAATGCAGATTGTAAATATGTAGTCAAAATGCAGATCATTTTGAAAATGAGAGGAGAAAAGCTTTGGAAATGTTAATATATACAAAGAAAAGTCGTTTTTCTGGAGGTTGATCTACTTCTTTCTGTCACGTGATTTTAAAGTAGACCATATACATATTTAATTTGGTCTCTGGTAAAATACCTAAAAAAATTATAACCCTCCATTTTCGTAAGATACTTGGTCTACTCGGGCTTGTCTATAAACTTTTGGATGCTTTTTAAAAAAATGCTTTTTTCTTTAACCAGCTAATAATTGGGTATATGTATTAGGTATAGGTTTATTCGGATTTCCAGGGAGGTAAAATATCTAGGAGTGGTATACTGGTTGAAAAACTTACCTGGAATGCACACTTGAAAAAAGTGGTAAGTAGAGCGAAGCAGACAATGTGCGTATGTCGTCGCCTTATCACTGGATCCTGGGGGCTGATGTCATACTGGATAGTAAGATAAGATAGTAAGACCTAGGATTTTTTATGGCGCCATAGTGAGGGAAGAAAAAGGGAAAATAAAATCCAGAGACTGGCCTGTTTGGGTATAACGGGGACATCTAAATCTACCACCGTTTCATATAGTGGTGGAAAGAGAAACGTGATTAGCAGTGACTCAGGAACAATAAGGACTGGAGAGATAGTCCCTATTCCGGGATTATGGATAAGATTGTTCCAAGGCCACAAGCCAATTGAGACTCGAATTGAGGATCAAAGCAAATGGCAGCAAAAGTTTGATACCCTGGAAAAATGGAGTCTAGTATGGTCTACGGATGGCTCCAAATTGGCCAAAGAGAAGGGTGCAGGAATATATGGATTCAGACCCAGGTGGAGTGCAAGCTATAGTATGGGGAGGTCTACAATTGTATTTCAAGTAGAAATTTTCGTGTTTAGCAGAAAATGTACGTAGGAGTTATAAACATTATAAGGATGTTTTAAGATTACGCCGACAAACTTTGAGGACATATTCCTCAAGTAAAAATAAGAAAAAAATATGTATAAACATAGGGCCGCAAATGTCTCGTTTTCGAGATAGGGGATGTGGTACCATTTCTGAATGTAATATTTTATCTTGTACAAAAAAATGTATATTATATTTGCCACTGTTTCACGGCAAATTCAGATATAAACTTAGATAATCGTTCATCATTATCAGATATGGTTGTGGTGAACCCGTAACATTGGACGCGTGTTCACATTGTTCAAACTGCATGGATTATTTTAAATCGAAACCAATATGTACGAATCTTCAGTTAACAACATTGAAAATCTAAATGAATGAATAATCCGAGCATAACCAGAAGTGACTTCAAAGAATTTGTAGATTTTTTGTTATTTGTCTCTCCAGTTACATTGTTTTCATTCTTACCATGTTTAAAATATGTTTCCTTATTTTCTATTATTTATCTATCAATTAACATCCTGCATTTATATTGTTTACTACAGTTACTACTATCATTTTATTATTGATATGCTTAGTTAATATGGGTATAATCCATATTAACTAATTAATTCATATATTTTAATACATGATCTTGATGTATGTGTACGCTATTCTCTACCTATATCTATACTGTCCAATATTGTTATATGACATACTATGTATAACGAGACTAGGAATACACAGTGAAGCACTTAAATCTGTAATTGTCCTGAGGATGCCACGATAAGTGACGAAACGTCGACAATTGAGAAAATTTGGTGTTTTTCTTTGAAATTTGGCCTCTAATTTTCCCACTATTGACAACAGACAACACAATTGGCAAAGACAAGGCACGTATTAATTTAAAGTAAATAAGAAACAACTTCCTTATAAAAAAGAAGGTAACACTAAATTCAGCATAATATAATAGATATTAAAATTATCGATATAAAGAGGTTAATAATGAATCCTACTCTTGATATTGTTTTATTTCTACTTGAAACGCCTTTTTCAATACGTAATTAACTAGAAAAACAACAAATTTTTGAAGAGTCAGCCAACGCCAAAAATAACGGTAATTTTTAACGAAAAGAGAAGAGATCGAGAAAGCTCGCGAAAATTTCAATAACTATTATCAATTTATACATAAAATTGTTTCACGAATAACAGATAAATATCTTACCTTGTTGGGGAAATTAAATGGGACACTTAACAGCAATGAGACTTTATTAATGTTCATAAAATGAAAGTAGTTAAAACTTTAAATTTTAACTAAAAATTAAACATAAAAAATTAATATCAAAATGAAAATACATTTTTTAGAAAGTACTTTGTCCATAACAAAAACAAAAGTTAACCACCGCTCAGTACACATTTTTATAGATACGTTAACACTGACGGCAAAAATCGATTCCTCATGACATTTTATATCAGACAACAATTTTTGTCTAAAAATTTTGAAAAATAAGTCAAATAAGACTAAAAAAGAAACAGCATAAAATCGGTTTCCTTCCAATATCTCCGGAACTATTTTGAATTTTCTAAATTTAAAAACAAATCCATGATCGGCCTAAAATTCTGCACATTTTTGAACATTTAACCATATCAATCTGTATCATTTAAAATAAGAAACGTACATTACTTTTTGATAAAGTAACCAAAGCAATTCATTTGAAAAATTAAGAAAATACCTCTTCTCCTAATCAAATTTCCTCCTTACAACCTCATTCCTTATTTTATCAGTATTCTTCAAATTTTTTAGCTCTTGAAACATTTTTGACATCCTAACGGCTTTCGTGTAATTAAATAATATATTGGTTACCACCGAACATTTTTGATATAAACTTGAGATGTTTATTATAAAAAAATTTTGTTTATTCAAATTAGTATACATACATATATAATTCGTCAAAAAAAAAAAATAAAAGAAATCTAAAATGAGAACAGGACATATTTTGTATTTAATTATATGTAATTAATTCCAATAATGTATAAGTTTTCCACAAAACATTTATTGGTGTTTTGTTATCAATTTTTTATGATAAATTAATCCACATCGGATGTCCGTTGAGGTTGACTGGTAAAATAGATAATTAATCGAAATCAAGGACAAGAGCTGTAGGGTCACTCGCTAAAGAATATAAAAGCAAATTTGATTAGAGGTGGTTAAACGAAGCAATTTTACATAAAAGTAAGTTTAGTTACATTATGTGGTAATTCCATGTATACAGAATATTAGAACACTTTGTATAAAGAAAACAATAATTGACACAATATGTACAAATTACATTTAGGATCTAAAATATTAGGAAGAACTAATACATCCGTTTGTCTTTTAGTTTTATTTTTAGACAAATAGAATTTATTTAGTAGTGAAATTGTTTTTATTGCAAAGGCAGAAAATATAATTGTCGCACATTCAACATTTTGCTCACTGAAAAAAGAGCTTTTGGAAAATATTATGATTTCTATAAGTAACACCGGTACAGAAAAAAAGAAAAGTCGAGTACGAAGATGTCAGTAATAATCGATAAAACACACTCACAATTAGTGAAAGTTTTACTCCTAATATTT